TCCTTCTCTCTGTCGTTCTCTGTGTCCTTCTCTCTGTCGTTCTCTCTGTCGTTCTCTGTGTCCTTTCTCTCCCTCTCCCTCTCCCTCTCCCTCTCTCCCTCTCCCTCTCCCTCTCCCTCTCCCTCCCTCTCTATCTCACACTCGACGTGCCATTCAATCGCTGACATCGGCTTGCGAAGCAGCGAAATCACCCTGCCAACAGTGCCATAGCAGCTGTGACACCTGTTCCGGCACTCAGGATAGCGACTGCCTGAGCTGCGCGGCCGGGTTGACTCTCGTCCTGGACCGGTCGCCGGCCGGCCGGTGTGCCCCGGTCGACCCGGGCACCACGGTGACACTCCTCCGGCCGGCCCCCGAGTGGCCCTACCATCAAGCCAGTCCCATCCTGGATTTGGGATTTTCCCCGGGCGGGGTCGCACTCGCATCCATGGGCGGCTTGCTGCGTGCCAGTCCCATCATGGTGGAGTTTCGAATGTCGACCCAATTCATCCACTCGGACAGCCCTGCCACCCACCCGGCGGATCTGCTTGTATTCGGGAACCTCTCTCTCATGCTCAAGAGGGACCCACATGGGGGCCAATTTCAAATCGACAGCTTCAATACCCCGAGCAGCCAAGTGATCAAAGTCCCCGGGCCGACCGGGCCCCAAAATATGCAGGTAAGTTGGGAAAGCCTACGCCAGTGCTCTCGGAGCCTGCACGGACTATGCAACAAGCTTCGCTCCTATTCGGGCAGCCCCTCTGCCAATGCGTCACTCGGTCGGGTGTCTGCCGGCCGGGTTCCGGGCGAGGCGCCGCAACTGGCCCTCCTGTCCAACAATCGCATTGGTATGCGGCCGCTCAGCCACACACAAACCCACAGCTCCCTTTGGCTGGAGGCCGACAACAGCCTCGGCTTGGACACGGTGCTGGTCCTGCATTCGGCCGACATTCCCAGCAAGAGCCTTTGCTGGCTCGGCTGGCAGCCACGCTTGGCCGCCGATTTGCGGGTCGCGTCTCCAGCCACGGCACCTGAGCGCCTGCTCCCGGATCCCATGCCCTGTGGCCAGTTGTTTGGCCTCCCATCTGCCGGGCCTGGCGGCCGGCCGCCAGCTCTCCTCGTTCCCCATTCCCCGGGCATCGGCGACGCGTTGGTGTACCTCCTCCGGAACCGGGGCCGCGGGGGGGACCTTCGCCCGCGCTTTGAGGCGCCCCTTGCCTTGTTGACGCCTTCTCATCTCGGCCACCGGGCCGATTATCAGCCACTCGGCATGCAGGCCGTCCTGGATCCGAACGGCCTGACTCCCACCACGGCCATCCTCTTCCTGTGGGATGGTCAGTGGGTTTTCCGAGTGACCATCCATCAAAGGGTGCCGCCTGGGGCCGGCAACTCGGACCATGTGACGGTGTCCGTCGAGCCGCTGGTTCCGCATTCCAATTTCGCCACCTTCACCACGGGCCTGATTATGCTGCCGCTGGATGCCGATGGGGATGGTGTCAGCGAGCTGGCCATGTTCGCCTGGATGTCCAACACTCTGGTCATCTTCCAACAGGCCTCCCCGAAGAATGGCTGCGGATGTGGCCAGGCTAGCGTTTGTAACATCCCCAGCACGTGGAACGAGTCTCGCTGTGACCATCCTCAAGCCGGCCCCGAGTGCATGCCCATCCCCACCACCCTGCAGGCCCGGGACCTATGCACATGCGGGCCGGGGCTTCGCTCCCCGGCCGATGGGTCTGGCCGGTGCAACCAGTGTGGCTCTTCGACCGGGGACTTCCCCGCCGGGTTCGGTGGTGCGTGCTGGTTGCCCGTGTTTTTCTGATTTTTTTCTGCGCCCCTTTCCCCCTCTTTCGGCCCCTCTCTCTTCCCCCATCGCCTTCCCTCTGCCCGCTGCTCTGTTGCACTGGCCTTCGTCTGACCCCCTTGCCGTTTGTCAGTCGACTGTGCCCCGTGCGATGTCGATGGCTGCATGCTGTGCGATGCATCCGGCCAGTGCCTGCGTTGTCGGCCGGGGCTGATTCGCACGCCCACCGGCGAGTGCGCCACCGGCTGCCCGGACCCGGCTGCCCCGGTGGTGGATGCCGTGTGCCAGACCCGGGATCCGGGCGATACATGGATCAGTTCGGCCGAGGTCCAGGCCCACCCTTCGTGGGCCGGGTTCCGGGTGGTGGATGTATCAACCCTGCGCGCGGTGGATCAGGCCGGCGCGGTGGAGGGGTCGCGTGCCGTGTCGACCACCTTCCCCACGCTGCATGTCCTGCAGCCGGAGTACCCGCATTTTGGTGCTTCGCAGAGTGTGTGGCTGCTTCCCCTGGCGCGTCTGCTTGCCGACGGTCGGCCGGCCCCATTCGGCCGTCTGGATCTCGTCAGCGCCTCCCAGTGGCTGGACGAGACTTGTGTCCTGTTTGAACGGGAGGCCACCGCGCAGTCCGATCCCCCGGGGATGGATCTCCGCCCGGAGGCCGGATCTCCCTCGGCCAGCCTGACTAGCCAGCTGCCGGGACTCTCCCTCGGTGGCCCGGGTGCCGTGGGCGGGGATTTTGCCACTGCCGGGGTCCCCTCCCCGGGTCCCTTGATCAATCACACCGGCCTGAGCCTGGTTCCGCGCTCGGTCCTGCTTTCCCAATATTATCCAATCCGCCGGCCCTGGTTCTCGCAGCTGAGCCAGGCCTTCCCCTCGGTCGGGCTGGAGCCGGTGCCGACGCTGACGCCCGACTCGCCGGTGCTTCACTTCCAACGGGCGATGGGCTTCTTTTACGACGTGATCCAGATGCATCCCAACCCTCTGCGGGAATCTGACCCGCCGCCGGTGGCCCCGTCGGACTTCCGCACTTGCTCCATGAGCTGGGCATTGCTGCCGGCCAAAACCCGACTCACGGTCAAAGGCTCGCCGGAGATGTTCAACATGATCGGCGCGCCCGAGTGCATCTCCTATCGTGTGTGGGTTCCCTTCCTTGCTTCCGAGCTGTCCTTCCACCCGAGCATGGGAAGCTGGTTTCTGCCAGGCCGTGCATTGTTGATGCTTCGCCGGCCTGCCATGTTGGGTGCTCGTCCGAGGGTGGTCATTCTGATGGCTGTGCAGGATGTCCCTCCAACGGCGCCTGGTTGCGATTGGCACATGCTGGAGCTGCCGTTGACCCCCGGGGCGATTGGGCTGCCGGTGTTCCGATCTTCCACCAGACTCGAGAGCTCCTCTTCCATTCTCTTCTTCGCGCGGGTCCCGTCCGTGCAGGACTTCCTGCCGAGTGCCGTGGCCTCTGGTCGTGGGATTGTGGCCGTCAATGATGTCGCGAGTTATTCACACCAGCTGGCGGTGGCTTTGGCCGGGAATGAGCCGGATGATGTGGATTTGCAACTGGCCTCGCTGCGCCTTCACGATCAGACTTACTACTTGGTCTTTATCCGGACCGACGGCCTGCCAGACGGTATCATGGCCCTACCTGTGGACTGTTTGCTGGAGAAGCACACCGGGTGGAAGGAAGCCATTCCGGCATTTGGCTCTCCTGGGCGGACATGGCCCACCGATCGGTCGACCTATGGCTGTGATGCTCTCCTGTTGGAGACCCGGGCCCTGGCCGGCGGCGGTCCCGATGGCCGGCCGGTGGCCCTGGTCAAGGACATGGACAGCAACGGGATGGACGATTTGCTGCTCCATTGGCCGGCCACCGGCCGAGTGGTGATGTACTCCACACTGAGCACGGTCCCAGTGACCTTCCGTCAGACGGTCATCTTCCCGGGGCAGGTGCCGGAATCTCGGTCGGCGGCTGCCATGCAGTCGGTCGAGTACCCGGCGCTGGCGGATCCGGAGCTGCTGCTGGTGGATGTCGATGGGGATCGATATGTGGATGTGGTCCTGCTGGACCAGGTCACGCCTTCTGGTGCGCCTTCCGCCTCCAGCGCCCCGGTCCCGGTGATCCGGGTGTTCGGCCGGTCGGACCAGACCAGCAACTGGTGCCCGGCCGAGGTGGACTTTGACCCGGTGGCCGGCGAGTGTGTCTGCCCCGGGCGTTTGCGGCACCTGACCCCCCTGTCGGATGCGTGCGAGTGCATCACACACGCGGTGCCGGTGGCCCCGGGTGCGCAGGACTGCGTCTGCCCGGTGGGCATGGCCGAGGGCGTGGGGGCATGTGTCTGCCAGCCGGGGCTGCTGCCGGTGGCGAGCGAGTCCACCGGGGTGCCGGTGTCTCCGCCCCGCTGCGAGACCTGCCATGCCAGCTGTGCCAGCTGCTCGGCCACGCGCTCCGGCCTGTGCGCCAGCTGCCCCTCCGGGCACTTGCTCCAGGCGGGCGTGTGTGTGACGGCCTGCGGGCCGGGGCTTGGCATTTCGGCGGACGGCCGGCAGTGTGTTGCCTGCGCGGCCTCCTGCTCGGCCTGCCTGGGCCCGGCGTCCAGCCAGTGCTCGGCGTGTGCCGGCAACCGGTACCTGCCCGGCGGCGTGCCAGGCACGTGCCGGTCCTGCGATGCGGCCTGCTCCGGGTGCACCGGCCCGACGGCCTCCCAGTGCACGGCCTGCGCGACGGGCTGGCTGCGCGCGCCCTCGGGCGAGTGTGTGCGCACCTGCCCCGAGGGGACCGGTGTTTCGGTTCCCGGGTCCAGCCAGTGCAAGGCCTGTGCCGATGCCGGCTGCCTCTCCTGTGTCACGGCCCAGTCCGGGGCCATTTGTCGGGCCTGCCGGCTCGGGCTGCAAATTGACCCCACCGGCAAGCAGTGTCTCCAGTGCCATGGGACCTGTGCCACCTGCGATGGCAATGGCATGGATGACTGCCTGACCTGTGCTCCGGGCCTCTGGATGCATGGGTCTTCCTGTGTGGCCTCCTGCCCGGAGGGCACATTCCCGGAGGAGGGAGCCTGCTCGCACTGCTCGGGTCGCTGTGCCACTTGTAGCGGTCCCCTGTCGACCCACTGCCTGACCTGCCCCACGGACTGGGTTCTTCAGGCGGACGGCACCTGCCTGCCGGATCCCTGTCCCACATGCGGCGACTGCGCTGACATCGACTGCCAGTCATGCAGCCCCACCAACCCGGGCGTGTGCCTCATTTGCGGGGCCGGCCAGCTACTGCTGCCGGATGGCACCTGCGTGGCTGCCTGTCCCTCGGGCATGTACATGGCTCCAAGTGGAGATGCCTGCCTCCCGTGCCATGGCACCTGCGCGGAGTGCTCCTCGCACCGGTCGAACTCGTGCACCGCCTGCCCGGGGGCCCATGTTCTGGACCGTGGGTACTGCCGCGAGGCATGCCCCTCGCTGGGGTTCTTCCAGGACGCCGGAACCTGTGAGGCTTGTCACTCGTCGTGTCTTTCCTGCACCGGGCCCGGAGCCGGGCAGTGCGATCTGTGCCCACGGTCACACGTGTCGCACGGTTCTCACTGCCTGGGTGGGTGTCCGCCCGGGAGCACGCCACTGGGCGGCGGGTGCGCCGATTGCCATGGCTCCTGCCTGGACTGTGCCGGGCCCGAGGCCAGCCAGTGTACCGCTTGTGGCCCTGCCGCTTCGAGCCTCTGGAGTGGCTCCTGCCTGGAGACATGCCCGGGTGGAACCTTCCCCGGATCGGATCCCAGCACCTCGGACACTTGTCTGCTCTGCTCCTCGAACTGCCTGGAGTGCGCTGGGCCGGCGGGCGTTCAGTGTACCCGTTGCAGTGGGAACTTGCTGACACACCCCCTGTATGGGTGTGTGTCGGATTGCGGAGCGGGCTTCATGGCGAGGCAGGGCACCTGCATTGCCTGCGACACTGGCTGCCGTCAGTGCCGGGACTGGCCTGGCTTCTGCACCCAGTGCCCTGCGGGCAGGCTCCTCGGGTCAACGCCGGGCACATGTGTGGACCGGTGCGGTGGCCAGGAGTTCGCCGACCTGACCACCCCCTCGCTGGCTCGCTGCGCGGCCTGCCACCAAAGCTGCGCCTCCTGTGAGGGTGGCGCCAGGCCCGAGGACTGCACGGCCTGCCCGCCGGGCCTCTTCCTGCTGGCTGGTGTCGGCTGCGTGGGGGCCTGCCCGAGCGGGTACTTCGTTGAGGAGGGCCCGCTGGCGGGCTCCCAGGCATGCGCGCCCTGCGTGGCGGAGTGCGCCGAATGCACCGGGGCCGATGCCGGCCACTGCACGCGCTGCATGGCTGATCGTCTGCTGATGGTGGGCTCCGGCTACTGCCGGCCCGTTGGCGAGGACACCTGCCCGGTTGGGTGGCACACGGATCTGCCCGGCCGGCGGTGTCTCCGTTGCCCGGATGGGTGCCTCTCGTGCCCGGCCTCGTCGAAGGATTGCGAGCAGTGCGGCGCTGGCATGCGTTCGATCCGGCTGCTGGACCGCGAGGCGACGGATGCGGCGCCGATTGGCTCTGGGCCGCGCACCTGCGTGGCCATGTGCCCTGGCGGGTGGTTCGCGCCCGAGGACCGGGCCGACGTATGCTCGGCCTGCGACATGGCGTGTGGTAGCTGCTCCGGCCCCGGGCCGGATGGCTGCCTGGAGCCGAATTGCGACCAGCCAGGCAGCTGTCCCAAGAAAGGTGTGTCTGCTGCTTCAGTCCTGTCCCACGATGTTGGCCATTCGGCAATGTTGTTCTGACCATCCTCCTCCATCGGCTCCACCTCCAGGCTCGCGCTTGCTTGTGCTGGCGATCGCCCTACCACTGGCGCTGCTCCTCCTGCTGCTGCTTATTTTGATCCTGGTTCTTGTTCTTCTGCGGCGCCGGCGACGCCAGGCTGCCGCCAAGGATGGCGACGCCATCCCAATGCAATACATTGGCAACCCGGTATGTTCTCGCCTGCTTGGCTTCGCTCGTTTGCCCTCGTGCTGACCCCCTCGCCCCCTCCCCCGCCCCCTCCCCCGCCCCCTCGCACACACACACGCCTCAACACACGCGCCATCTCGCAGGAGGACATGACCGTGATGAACACCATGATTGGTACGATGGCAACAGTCCCCCCCCGCCCTGCTCGGTGCTCATCCACACTGACCTGCCTTCCGCTCGGCTTCCTCTGACATCCCTCATGTAGAATTGTCGCTGCCGGGGCATTTGCTTCTCAACCCCGAGGTGGATTATCGCATTGAGCCCGGCTGCGAGGAGCTCGGCAAGGGTGCCCAAGCGGTGGTCCTGCCGTGCACATTGCTGCGCTCGGACCTCTGTACGGCAGCCGGCGGTGATGCCGGCGCCGTGAAGATGATCTCGACCGGTGCGTGTGGCCTTTACCGGTGCTCGGATTCCGGATTCCCCCTGACCCCCATGCGCCTGGCAGACTCGCCCTTCCGCACGCAATTCGAGCCGCTGCTCGACCAAGAAATTGCCATCCTCAGCATCCTGCTGGCCGACGGGGGGTCGCCATTTGTGTGCCAGCTGGTTGGCTACTCGGCTGCCCCGAGCAAGGCCCTGGTGATGCCCCACTACCCGGGGCTCCTGTCGGACCTGCTTTGGCCCTCTCGCCTGGGCCCGGTGCAAACCCTGCAGATGGCCGCCGACATTGGTGCGCGCGTGACCCCGCATGCCTGACATCCCTCTGGCACCGGGCATTGACCGACTATCTTCCCGCCCACAGCGGCCGGCCTGGCGTTCATCCACTCGCGCGGCGTGGTGCACAAGGACCTGAAGCCGGAGAACATCTTCCTCCGGCCGGATCCGGCGGCCCCCGGTCGCCTGCAGCCTGTCATCGGGGACTTCGGCGTGGCGCTGGTTCTCAACCGGTTCTCTGTCATCCCGACGCTGGGCGATGTGGCGGCCGGCAGTTTGCCATACGCCTCGCCGGAGACGCTGGCCCGGCTGTTCGGCATGGCCTTCCCGCTGGCGCCATCCGACAGCAGCGTAGTTTCTCTGCTGAAGGTGGACATCTACTCGCTCGGTGTGCTGCTCTTTGGGCTGGTGGCCGTGGCGCGCCCTTGGGCCGGTGCGCTTTTCACTCCTTCCTCTCTCTCTTTTCTCTCTCTCTCTCTCCCTCTCTTTCTCCTTCTTCACTCAAGGGCTTATCGTGACTAACATGACCATCCAGACACTGATTCGGGTGAGGTCGCCACTGCGGTGCTGGCCGGCAAGCGCCCGGACATGAGCCCCTCCTCTGGAACCCCGGCCCCAGTGCTGGTGGGTGACACGGGCAGCGAGCCGGCCTGGATGGCGGACTATTGTCAGATCTACCGCGAGGCGTGGGCGGCCGATCCTCGTGAACGCCCATCGGCGGCCAACCTGGCGGCCACGCTCAGCGATCTCATAGAGAAGGAAACCTCTCCCCCTTGAACCAGTCATGGGTGGCCTCGAGAATCACTCCGACGGTGATGTGTAAATGGCCCATAATAGAATCTTTCTGTTCCTAGCGGCAGTCACGCTTCTCCCGCTCGAGTTCGATACAGAGCAGCTTCTATGTGTTCAGCATGAGGAGCCGGGCCCGCTGCTGGCCAAGTGAAATCCCAATGAGTAGGGTGGCACAAAAAAAGCCCCTCTTGACTGTCCGGTCATGGGGATGCACATATTCGTCACGCCACGGATCGAGTTCCCGAGTGTGTGTGTGTGTTTTTTATCGGCGCTCCGCGACATAGCAGGGCGGGAGAACCCATCGCAGAATACTCATGGCTCAGATCCGTCGGAAAGGGAGCAAGGCCATGGATGCGAGTCATGCTGGCGATCTACCGGCAGCTGGATTAGGCCTGGCACGGAGGAGAAGAGTGGGCTGATCGGCGAAGTGATCATTGTCTGCCGGCTGCATAGGCTGCCGGGAGCAAGTCCTCAAATCGATCAAGGGGGCAAGCAGAAGGACAAGCAACTTCGCATGGAAGATGCAAGACTACAAGGGTAGACCCCTTCTAGCGAGACGTGATCTCCAGCGCCAGGTGTGCGCAGTTCAAAAACAAGGCCGGGCAAAGGCCAACAGCCAAGGGCCTCGGCCTGGGAGACCCCGAATGCCGGGGGCGTCCCATCCCCCCGCCCTCGCTTTGGTCGCCGCGCAAGCCAAGCTGAGAAGGGAAGGAGTCCCGCTACCAACCAACCGTGGTCTGCTTTCCTCGGAGTTTTGAGTTTGTGTGCTGGCGGTCGTAAAAAAAGGGGCCGGCAGAGGAATGGGATCAGGGGGAGAGGGGGGGGGGGGCAAGAAAATTGGATCGAGTCGGGCCCCATCCCGAAAGGGCCGCGGTCACTTTCGTCAGAGCCCCAGCCGGGACCCTGGACCATCCGGCGTGACCCCGAATGTTGCGTATGAGTATAGAATGCCATGGAAGGCCTTCCGCCCAAAATGGTGCGCGATCCCGCATCCCGTTGGAAAATCCAGCAGTAAGCTCGAGAAAAAAAGACCCAACATATTCCCCCATGTCACGAACCCATCTCCCCGCCATCTCTTCGATCTGAGCAGAGGATCGTATGGCCGTGGCGGGAGTGGAGCGGGACCGACATCGATCCGACCGTCCGTCAAAAGACCGGAGCTTTAGCGGAGTCCATATCGGAAATCTGCCTCTGGCTCAGAGCGGGCTAGGGCTGAAAGGACGTTGCACCGGACCAGGGGGTGCGCAATTGTGTCTGGACAGGGAGAGTCTGGTGCCTCGGCCCGGGACGAGTAGGAAGGCGATCGCAAGAGAGGTAGCAATAAAAAGAAGAGAGATTGGCAGACTGCGTACAAGGTGAAACAATGAATTGTCTATGGTCGGAGGTCCGACGTGTCTCGTTTCCAAGCATGGGGATCGTAGGGTTGAGCCATGTGCGGCAAGTCCGTATTCCGGGACTCACACACACACACACACACACCACAAGGCCACCTTCCTAGCATAGTCACGTTCATTATATTCCGGTTCCGGACAGGGCTCACTCCAATCGAGGGGGGGGGGGGCGAGGCAAGTGGCAACGGAGCCGGGGCATGGGACATGCGAGTGAGCCCCGTGGCCTCAAATACCCAAGCCCGGACATTCACCCAAGTGTTGGAGGATGTGTGAATCGCCTGACTGTCCACGAAGGGGGGGGGGGGTTGGCATTGCACAAGGTTTGCGCGTCACGCGGGCCACCAGGCGTCGGCTCAGGCGGCGCGCCGCTCCTCCTGGGAGGCATCGCCCGCCGCATCCAAAGCCGAAGACCGGAACTCCGGCCGGGTCTTGGCCACCAGCGCCGCGAGAGTCAGACGTGCCTAGTCCAAGCGGAACAATAGCCCGGCCTTCTCGGTGCCGAGCTTGTCGGCCGAGCAGGCCAGCGCCGATGCCAGGCCCACCCAATCAAACGCAACCAAACGGATGGAGGCACTACATGTTGTCATGTCGGCCGGGGGGCGAGGCGTCAGAAGGATAGCACGCCATGCGGTCAGTGACCGAGGGCAACAGAGTCACGGGCACGGGGCAGGGGGGGGGGGGCAAGCAGGAAGTAGCAAGGAGAAAGGAAAGGGCATGGACGCGTGTATGACTGTGTGTGGGTGTACACGTGCACGTACGGAGGGGAGGGAGGGGGACAAAGGGGAGCGTATGTCAGATCCTCCGGGGCGAAAGCAATGCCGCCAGCGATCGACAGGGCGATGCTCAGATCAGTCAGGTATGGCTCAAACTCCGGGAGAGCGGCCGCCAGCGCGGCCAGATCCACCGCCGCCCTGGTGGCCAGAAGCAACTGCTCATGGACACTCGTTGGCACGGGGCACGCGGCGGCCGGCACCAGGGCACTCAGACGGCTCAGGTACAGACACGCCACCAGGGCCAGGAGGTTGTGCGTGTGTGCCGCCCGGGTCGAGGGCGAGGCGGATGCCGAGTCGGCCGCCGCGGCCAATGCCGCCACCACAACGGCCACGGCCGGGCCGCCGGCCGCGGGCAGGACCGCCGGGTCGCCCATGCCATCGGACGCCGCGGCCGCCGCCTGGAGCCCGGTGTAGTCGGCCAGGGCTACCACCAGGCCGAGAATGTCGCCCATCGACAGGGGATCCGCCCCGGGGGCCGGAGCCGAGGTGAGAGACAGCTCCCGGCCGAAGACCGACGTCAGCGACGCGAGCAGGCGCCCGCCATGTGCCTTGGCAAAGGCATCCAGCACCGGCTGCCCCGGGCGCCGGCCGCCCGGTACCT